TTGCCTGTAATACGGGGAAGTTTGTTTGCCCTCGTGACATTCACATAAACAAACTGATATCCATGATTTGCCAAGATCCCATTTAAATGGATTCCCACCTAAAAGGTTAAGATTCTGGGTCCTAAAAGTACTACCATAAGAATAATGTATTTATACCACATTTAAAACATTTTCTGCACAGAAAGCTATCCCATCTAAAACGAGCAACTTTAGAGACACATGGTAAATATTTTATCAATTTAACAAGATTCTGTTAGATTAGCTAAAGCTATATCCTTGTAATAGGCCATGGAAGTCCACAGTAATGTGAGATTTCGTGGTTCCACATTTTCTAGACAATGGGCTCACAGAGAGCAGTGAGGTTGTCAGCCTTACACGCCGGCTGCCGTTTACCCCCAGGAAAATTCTTGGCACTCATTTCTCTTCAAGGCTGATTTAACACCAGGGCCACAATGTGGTTGGAAGGATTAGGTAGGTAGAAAAACCCAATGACCTTATTGGTAATCAAACCTGCAACCTTCTGGCTTGTAACATAGTGCCTCAACCATCTGTGCTACCACATGTTCCCTTTCTGTTATATTATATTTATACAGAAACAAATGAGAAATAAAGCTGACACATAAACAGAACATGTTATAGCACTCAATACCATTTAGTGACTGATAGAAGTTGGATGGAATTAGCAATGAATTTTCACCTCCATCTGTCTAGATGGTAACATGGTCTTTGTGGGCTACATTACATAGAATGAACATGTGTTTAATTTTGTGAAGATGTGTGAAAGTAAACTGACGTGTGTATTATATACATTTGTATGCAGGGCTACATGCCCAAATATAAAATGTAAGTTGTTATCAGTTCCTCAGAAAATGGAAATCATTAAGGAGTAACAACTTGGCATGCCAGTGCTGATGATAAATAATCTTATGTTGAATAAAAAACAAGCAAACAAACAAGACAAGAACTTCAGAGACGAGCAACTACTCAGCGAAGCAGAAGAAAGTTAAAAACTCCTAAATATGAGAAGGCTGAATCAAAACTCCTGGAATGGTTTAGGTAGAAATGTGTATTATATACACCAATTCAAGGTCCAACGTTGAGACAAAAAGCTGAAGAAATAGCTTTAAACCAATCACTGAATTCACACTCTTGAATGGATGGCTTCATTGTTTCAGAAAACACACAGGGCTTAGCTATGGGTCCATGAATAGGGAATCCGAAAGTGTATCTGAAGAGGTAGTAGGTACCTGGAAAATGGGAGTGCTTCCATCACTTCTGAGTACATGCCATTCAAAGGATATTGTGATATGGGGGCTCACAGCCAGAACTATGGAACCAGCAGTGATAGCCATTGCTAGAGAATGTCCCTATAAACATTATATGATAGTGGGTTACCACGGCAATAAAGTGAACACAACAACAGAGGAATTGTGGGAAGAGGTGTTTTCTGTGTGGTTCATTCCAAGGCTATATAATGAGGACCAGCTGCCATTACGATTTAGTCTTGAGTTGTTGGTTAGTGAGTGCAGTTCTTGAGCTGTAAGGGTGTGACAAACAGCCCTTGTTAGAAGACTGTCGTCATGCAATGACTAGTGGAGGCTGTAACAAGCTAAGAAGACTAGTATGGGTTATAGTTGATTTTTGCAGAGTTATAGTTACTTGTAGTTCCGAGTTGTAAGTGTTCAATAAATCTGACTACCGATCCAAATCTTCTGTCTCGTCACGTAACACATGACAATATTGTGACATGTTGAGCTATGGATCACCCCTACCTCCCCAGCGGTACGTGGCGGTAACGTAACGCTCGCGTTACTATGGTAATAGGCGAGTTCCCGCCCCTCCACTCCCCTCCGCGGTGACGTAACGCGCAACGCTAGGTACCCGTAATCAACTTCCTACTGTGACGTGGCAC